CAGGTAGCCTATCAGACTAAATGTAGCTGAGTAATAAATTGAACAAAAAGGGGCTAATTTATACTTTGTTTCTAATTACAGGTTCAATTAGCATTTCTCATATCAGCATGTTCTCTGCATCAATACTGGAAGGATTTTTTTCTTTAAACTACATTAGGTTTCTTTGTTCCATAATTAAATTTGTTTGATGACCCAAAACATATAAAGAAATAAAACACAGAGCAGAACTCCCAAATGAAAAAAAAACTTTCCCACTGCACTATATGGAAGTTGGGGTGAAACCAACAAGCAAATTTGTCAGAGAATAGAATTACATAAATAAAGCACAGCATCAGGAAGTCTTTTGTAGGCCCTGTAAAGGAGGAGTAGGTTCTTCCTGAAAAAACAATAAATATATATATATATATATATATATATATATACATTTTACATAGTCAATTAATCCAAATATAAGTTCTGAAGCTTATTTTCAAAATAACTTTTATGAAGCTATCAAACATACTTTTTAGCCGACATTTTTCTTGGGTCTAATGCAATTTACCAATCCTAAGTTCCAGTTTTTCTTTATCTTGAAGCAGAAAATCATCTAAATTAATCGGGGCTAGCCCAAGTCTCCATGGGGCCCTAAGCAAAATGAGATTTTGGGGCCCTCTATTTCTGCCAATAATAATGCTAGCTGCAATAACCAGTGCGATAATCAGATCATTCACATAAACTTATTGCAGCGTTGGTAGTGCTGTTTACAGTCTAATGTTTCTATGCATCATATAACTTTACAATTAGTAATAAAATAAACTTTATTTACAGTAAAAATGTGGTTTGCAATATTTGGTTCTGTAACAGCAATGTGAAGATATAACCTCTAGTGCAATAATAAGTGACAAATAAAACAGTTTTGATAAATAAAAATAATTAAATTGAACAAGAATATACATGATTAAGTCAAATAAACAAAATGTATAGTCTATCAATGTTCTGGTCGGTTTGTCAATCTGCTTTTTCATGTATAGGTAATAATTTTGAATGACATTTTTCCCTTTATTGTCCCACAATGGGGAAATTGCAGGCTCTATTTATGTAAAAAAAATTCAAAAAATGATCCTGAAAATGTATATCCTATTACTTAATATATGTATAGAAATCATTTAACATGCAAAAAACAACAAATAGTTAATTGTTATTGAAGGCCACCTAGTTGTTCTGTGGTCCTTAGCAGTTGCTCAGTTCCCTTACGCCTTGGGTCAGACTTGTAAAATAATAGAATAAGGTTTGCTTCATTTTAAGGTTGAATTACTGAAATAAATGAACATTTCAATGCCATGAACATGTATAACTGTTCTTCAAGATTTTGTAATAGTATTACCATCAACATAATAAACATTTAAGCTTGGCAATTAGCAGAGACACCAGCCAACAGCTGAATGAAAACTAGATTACATTTTGGAAAAGTATCAGCTGACTTTGATTATAGATGTTGCACGTCTCTGAAACTAAAAAATACTTTAAATGTGTAGAGTACGTGACAACCACAAGTTTCACAAGCAAAAATGTTACAGATCCAAGGAGATGAGGGAAGTCCATGCAGTTTAGCCTTTAGCAAAAAGTAGTATACTTGAAGTAAATTCTATTAAGAATACTTAAGTGTAAGTTTAGAAAGTTATCGAACAATGTACTTTTAGTGTACTTGAAGTATTACTAAAGTAATACTTCTTCGAACTAAATTAGGACATTTTTAAGTTTACTATAGTACACTTAAAGTATACTTTAGTAAACAATAAAGTAAACAATAGTATAGTCAAGTACACTTGTTTATACTATTGTTAAGTATATGAAATATTGTTTAGAATAAGTAAACTCTAAGTGGACTGCCTGATTTTAAGTATGAAATTAGTGCACTTTTAGTATACTTGAATAAATGACTTTTTACTTTTACTTAGGCTCCCAGTTTTTATGCTGTGTCAATTGTTTAGAATGTTTTGGGGGTTTTTTTATTATGTTTTTTTAAACAATGAAAATATATAGTTTCTGGAATGAGGTAAGCACTTTGCTTTCACTGGTTAAAGTGCCATGCTTCACATATCTTTTGTGTGTTTTGTCTTTGCAAGAAAGTTAGAAGAACATTTGAATTCTATTCACAAAAGATAAAAGTGTAATTTAAATATAATATTTAGCATTTAAAAGTTAAATAGACACTTCTTGTATGTACGTCTTGAGAATAATAAAAATGCAGATTAGTGAAAACATTTAGGACAAGCCCACATCAATTCTCGCAGGTAAATGAAATTCTTCCCAAAATCTCGCGATAGTAGTCGGCTTGTGAGGCAGATGATCCCATGGGATGTTGAAAGAGATGATGAGGGAACTGCTACTCTTCAGTGGTGGAGAATCAGACGTCGAGTAGAATCCATCAGCATCGAAAGCGGAAGGTCTGTGCTGTAGTAGACGATAGTGGGATTTCTGTGTCTGTGCGCGCGTGTGAGAGAGAGAGTGTTCATGACAGACAGTGGGTGCTGCTTCTCTGAGGGAGGTTTCTGGCTTTCCTGAGGATCAAAACAACCGTTTGTCGCGGTGGAGGTAGTTTACCACAGCCTGTAGGAAATCCTTTTTTATGACTCCTGTAAATAGAGAGCGCTCAGCTCGCAGCACCGCATAGCTTTACTCAGACCAGAGTTAAATGGAGGCATTTGTCAGGGTTGAAAAAAACTAAACCATGAGAGTATATTATGCCCCCTGAGTGCAGAGGGGTCACCTGTTTTAATCAACACGAGCTCATATATCGTTAAACAAGCCTATTGTGCTCTACATGCGCGCATTAAACGTCACGCGCAAAACTTTGTCTCCACGAGCGCAGCCGACAACCAACCCATGTGAAAAAACTCGGCATTTTTTTTTTTTTGCTGTTAAAGTGATCATTTATATTACTTTTGTTTCTGAGATATTAATGATTTTTTTTAAGGTCTTCTGAGGTCAAGCAATCCAATTAAAGCTACAGTGTGTAATAATTACAGGGATATACAG